CGAATAACATTCTCTAGAAAGATCTTCAAAACGCCACGTGTCTCCTCATAGATGAGACCAGAAATTCTCTTAACTCCACCTCTACGAGCTAAACGACGAATGGCAGGTTTGGTAATTCCTTGAATGTTATCACGAAGAACCTTTCTGTGTCTCTTCGCTCCACCCTTTCCTAAACCCTTCCCTCCTTTTCCACGACCCGACATTGTTGAAGATCAGAGAAATGAAAAGTCTTTTTTTGTTTTGGATTTTTTGTGTTTGTTGTGATGAATGGGGAGGTTTTTTTGGGTTATATAAGGGGGTGGGTGGGAGTTTTCTTTGTGTGTTTTTTTGTAGTGTTTGAATCTGTAGAGTGATATTGGCTGTTGATTTGAGAGATATCCATGGCTGAAAGATAGTGATCCGTGTCATGTGGTTTTCTGCATTTTAAACCGTTGATCTTATGCGGTGGTTTTAATGATCGAATTGGTATGTGTTTTGCGGATCGCTGACATGGCAATGTTTTGGTTATTGGGCTGTTTATTTCTTTGGGCTTGTGTTTTTTTCCAACAAAATAAAATAAAATTGGTATTAGAGTTCCCATCAAGGCATCAATACACAATACACTGCTTCATGGGCTACGTTTTCGTTTTTCCCAAAATTCTTAGTGAAAATTTCAGGCTTGTTTTATAGTTGTTAAATACTTAAATTGTAGCTTATTATAATAATTTAAAAGTTGGGTGGGGTCCACTTACTCCAATAGTAAGTTTAAATACTGCACATCTTGGGAAATTCAATGATTTTATAGTCATTAATTCTTGAGAAATTCAATGTTTAGATCTACCCACTAATTTAAACCATTAAATTTCCCTAAAATTGATGGTTAAAATGTGAAATAAGTTTAAAAAACTTACTCTTAGAGTCAATGGATTCTTCCTCCTAAAATTAGTTTATATATATTTATAGTTGATTGAAGTATTAAATTCCATTTAAATTTTGTCAAAATCAAAAAATTTATCATGAACATTTTTATTAAATTAAATAAAATAGATGAAATTGTGTCTTCGGACATTGAATGAGTCTATAAATAATAAATGCACAAATCGTGAATTCAAATTATCATATTGATGTGAAATTTTTATAGTGGGTAATTAGTAAATACATTGGTAATCATTATGAATAGCATTGAGTTCGAACATATAATTACAAACTCAATTTTCATTGTAATCCATAATAATCGTTCATAAAATCGTCAAACTTGCTCTAACTTTGACTAGCCATCCGAACCTATATTAGCTAAACTTTTAGTTATCATAAAAAAGGTAATTTGGTAGAACAGTTTATAGCTTTAATAGTTAGCTAAATCTACACAAGATTTTTCACATTAGTGAATATCTGCCTCCACCTTGCTTAATGCATAATTTTATTTAACAAATTGCTTCCCTTTAGCATAAATTAAGTATCTTTGACGATGTTAACAAGAATCTAGCTCTCCAAACTTGTAGTACACCTTCCCATACCGCCACCAAATAGAAACAACCATGGATTGTTGGGGATGCTTGAAATATATGTTATTAGATTAGTCCCACATCGCCTAGTATTGGAATAGAGTAGAGTAATCAATGTTATGCATTGGACTCAGGTCCCTTGTTGTAATATGCATCAGATAAAAGCACCAAATAGAAACACCCCACGGACACTTTGGCCCATGGGTGTGCTAGGGTTTGTAATCCTTATTCTCTAATAATATCTTGGTAGCCGATCAGCACTCCCGGGGACGTAGGCACAATTGGTCGAACCCTGTTACCAAATTCTTTGTTTCTTCTCTTCTATTTATTTTATGCATTATTTGATTGTTTTGTGACCAACGATGCGCAACGACAGCTTCTGCTGCACCAACAATTGGTATCAGAGCCAATTGGTAGATGGCTCTTAACCCAGGTGCTAGATAATTGCAAAAGAGGGTGAAGGCATGTTGGTTAGACAAGTTGCGTCAAAGGTACTATGCAAGGATAAAGGAGATGAGTTGAAGGAGAAGAACATATGGCGAAACTATGGTAGGGGCGATATATGTGTTGATCCAGAATCCTATAAATCCATGTATTGGATTAGGATCATGGTGGAGATAGGGACTCAGGTGTTGAGTTTGACACTAAGACAGATGCTGACTGACTTTGCAGGGTGTAACATGGGCATTGGCTTTGATGCAAGGTGTAACACGAGCATTGGTAGAGATGCAGGGTGTGACATGGGCATTGGCTTGGATGCAATGATGTGACACGGACATTGGTTAGCATTGACACAAGGTGTGCATTGTGGGTATACTCCTTATGGTGGAGTATGATAGTTCTTTTGAATTATGATTGTCGGGCTAGACAATTGTGGTAGCGGTTGAGTCTTTCCAATGAAGCTCCAAGGTTCAGCTTGACTGAGTATTGAAGAGAACGGTTGTTGGTGAACTTTTGTGTAGAGGTTCCATATATCGAAAGACTTCCTAGCAATAGGTGGCTAGGCGGCGTGTTCCATTTAGATGGCGGTACGGGAATGTGCACTAAAAGTTTGAAGAGCTAGACTCTTGGTAACATCGTCAAGGATACTCATAATGTTTATACTGAAGGGGAACAGACTCTTATGTAGAGTTGTTAGAGAAGATTATGCATTGAGCAAGGTGGAGTCAAATATTCGCTAAGGTGCAAAATCTTGTGTAGATTTCCTAAGAAGCGAGATATCCGTCTAATTTAATCAAGGGGGAGATTGTTGGGGATGCTTGAAATATGTTATTAGATTAGTCCCACATTGTCTAGTATTGGAATAGAGTTGAGTAACTAATGTTATATATTGGACTCAGGTCCCTTGTTGTAATGTGCACTAGATATAAGCACTAATAGAAACAACTTATGGGCAGTTGGGCCCATGAGTGTGATAGAGTTTGTAATCCTTATTCTCTAATAATATATTGGTAACCGCTCAGCGCTCCTGGGGACGTAGGCACAATTGGCCGAACCCCGTTACCAAATTTCTTGTGTTATTCTCTTCTCTTTTATTATTTGATTGTTTGTGCGCAACGATCGATTCCGTTGCACTAACAGTTACAACTTTAGTTTCTAATGTTTTTAATGTTAGTCATAAACTGTTGAAGGGATGACATGATATATGTTCTTTGTTCTTGAGAAGGTGAGTTTATATTAATGGAAATTAGTGAGGAATTTCTTAGTATCGTGTGAGAAGTACTTGAGCAAGTTAGGGGAAGTACCTGTAAAGGTTTTCCGATGACCAAATCAATATGTGAAAGATATATGGAATATCATAAAATAATATCAAAAGGTAGAATCAAAGAGTAAGTTAGTGGTAAGTAAAATTCATTAAGTGAAAATAATATTCTTTTGTAGATATTGTTGGTCTGATCAACCAAATGGTATGTCGGATCTATACCAGACAAGCGAAAGTTGCTTTTTCGTTGTGAGATGACTTCGGTGGATCCATACTCTCTAGACATTTGATTTTGTTCATATTAGTATTGATAATCACGTCATTGGTCCATTATCTGTCTTGTTGAGATATACAATATGGTGTAGGTAGCATGTGGCATGTAGTAGTGGTTTATGTCATGCATGTAACACAACAATAGGGTGCCAGAACTCAAAAATGGTCTCATACTATCTTATCGTTTTTGTCTAACTAATATCAGTTGGCTCGGAGTGTTTGGTATTTTGACTAAAGACGAGAGTGCTTAGACCATGCTTGTTTTGCTCGAACATAGGTCAATAGTTTTCATCTCTGCCCGATCTTGTTGTATGCTCTTGAACTCGGATGGAACAATATCAATGTCCTTCTCATCTTTCTTTCTCCGATGGCTAATAAAAAATCCACGATCTCCCTTCTAAGTAAACCTTATTCTCATATTCCTATTTAAAGCAAAAAATTTAAAATTTGGTGTGACACAATAACTGTAAACGTCATTGTTAGAGTTATTATTAGGAACTCGAAAGTGACTTAGAATAAGCAGAAGTGATAATAATTAAAATAAGTCATTTTACCTTTTTTTTATGTGATGTGTCCTCTTACTTGAAATTAATTTTAGAGAAAAATGTATATAAACCCCTTAAACTTTACACATTTTACATCTTAAACTTCTCTTATTCATAAAATAGGTCCTTATGTTAAATCTATGTTAAATTATTTAACTGTAAAATCTGACATTTCAATTTTTGTAATTTACACAGTTGATTTATTTATTTAAAAATATAAAAATATCAATAATAAGAAACTATTATTGTTCATCATTAAATTATTTTAATATGCAAAACTAATCTATTACGTTGTGCCAGAACAAATTTTTTACCCGTTAAGGAAATGGTTGTAAGTGTTGGTACTCTTCTGAGAAGAGGGACTGGTGGTTGCTGAGAAGAATAATAGTTTCCCATTATTGTTATTTTTTATTATATTATTAAATAAATAAATTGAAATGTTAGATTTTCAGATATTTAATAGAATAATCTATTTTATGAATAAGAGAAGTTTAAAGTTTGTCTGAGATGAAATTTAAGTTTTGATGGTTCTCATTATAAAGGATGTAAAATTTAAGGGGGTGATATATACACTTTTCCCTTAATTTTATCATAGTCAAAATAACTTATTTTTTCATAAGTTACTTTTCACCCATAGATGTATTCATACTTAAGGTGGGATGAATGAATTATTTTACATGGATTTGAACTTGAGATATAGGGTTATGCCGAAGTTATGGTTATCTTATGATTATTGCTTTGTTAAAGATAATAATATATTTCCTTCAGCCACTAAAATCATGACATGTGTACTATTTAATTATTTTCTACAAAAATATTTCTAAAACAAAACAAAACAATACACGTGTTATTCTTTTACTAGCCAAAAGAAATAAGTTGTCTCATGGTATAATGAAATATTTATTCTCAGTTAATATATAAAAATTAATTTTTTTTGTGGTTTAAATAAAATTATATTTTTCACAATCAACTATTAAAGTGTTTTTCAATAGTAATTTGTATTGACCCGCAGTTTTTTCAATTTGTTGGAACTTGGGAAGGAAAATACAAGAGCGAGACTGAAGAAGCACAAAAACGAAGGTAAGCCAAGCTCATTCTCGATTTCGTTTTTTCATCCCTTTGTGATGTATGATTCTCGGTTTTCGATTAGTCTCCCATTATTTATGTTTCATTATCAATTTTCAGATCTGGGTTTTATTTATGTTCCTTGTTTGATTTTATTTATTTAATTATTTGATCTCTTTGCAATGGAATTGAAGTAACCGATAATTTCTGTGAATGACCTATTTTTCAATTATAAGGATTGAAGATTGGATTGAGAAAAAAATAATCAACATTCGAAGGGAACTAGTATAAGTTTTAGATGTGACCAAAGTTTTAAATCTGGGTCTACAATCCCAATTTAGGTCACAATGTAGAGATTTTGATTTCCCTCTCAGCCACATTGTGATAGCAATTGTGGTCGTAACGATCTCATTTTGGCGCAATTGACAATTGCGGTAAACAGAACCGTAAGCACAACCACAATTCGCAACCACAATTTAAACATTGGATGTGATGTTAGGTAGTGTTTGTGGCCGTATCGATCTCAGCCACATCGAGATAGCAATTGTGGTCGTATCGATCTCATTTTGGCGCAATTGTCAATTGCGGTAAACAGAACCGTAAGCGCAACCACAATTCGCAACCACAATTTAAACATTGGATGTGATGTTAGGTGACTTTTGGAAGATGTGGAGCCAAAATAGAACAGAACAGGTTCTGAGTTTAAAAGGTATAACATTTTGGTTCTACTAAAAGAACGAAACCAATAATAAAAACTTAGTTATTTCATTCTGTTATGATCAATTGTGTGTCAAATGCTATCTGTCAAGAATAACAAATCAACTTATGTGATATCTCTAATGAGGGTACTGCCATGTGTTAATTTTTGTCCAGATGATTGATGATCAAGATCTGGGTTTCTTTGCTAATTTTCTCGGCATCTCCATCCTTGTGCTGGTGATAGCATACCACTTCGTCGTGGCTGAACCAAAGTATGAAGGAAACTAGGAATGCATTGAAGTCAAAGATGTAACTTTTCGTGTTGTACACTGAGTTATTTTGGAAAATTAAAATCAAATTGAAACATAGAACTTCAGTTTTGGAATGTGAATGATATCTTATATCTTACCGGTGAATCTTCCATAAACATTGTAGGTGCATAACACTTACTTATATATGTGCTTCCAAAAGCTTTGTGGTTTAGGACCATAGATTGGAAAGTAATGAAAAATGTTAAATTTATTGCATGGTTAGAGGGTTTTGCTAGATGTATGTGCTGCCATATTTAGTTTTGGTGCAATCATACATGTAAAAATGACATAATTGTCATTTCAGTCCTATTAGATTGCATGCTTAGCTTATGTGATATGTTTGCCATGGATTATGCTCAATGTGCCTTGAAGAATTAGGTAATTTCTTTTCTCAAAAGTTTGTCGATGCTACACTAAGTATTGGATTTTTTTTTCTCCAGATGCTTCAAAAATCAGTTGTTGGAGTTGGATCCCTTTTTTCCAATTAGTTGATTCTATATAAGGTACCATGTACATAGAATTGGATAATATTAGGGTCAAGTCGCTTCTTACAGTCATGCTGCTAGATTTACTGTGAACTTAGGGTGTTGATTTTACAATAAATTTCTTTCCTGTTTACCGCAATTGATGGCAACACATTTTCTGTCACAAAAATTCTGTCACTCCATATAACACTTAATATGATTTGTTAGGAAATACTTCAATGTTATTAATACTGTACCGGTCATTAAACCGGTAGGGGTACTACTACAGTGGTATAGCGGTTTAACCGGTAGTTCACTAATTAAACCGCATACTGGTAAAGTTTGATATACATATATAATATAGTATATTAACATTAATGTTGAAAAATCAATAAAAAATAATTATTATTTTTATTTTTATTAAAAATTTAATTTTAAATAAAAATTGACCGGTATGACTGGTACGGTTCAATTGAAAACCGGCTGGTATGACCGGTTTTTACCAGTTTTGGCCGATTTTTACTGGATAACTATATAATTATTGTATCCTACCGATATTTGGACCGATTCATCGGTTTACCGGTTCAACCGACTGGCACAAAACGGTTTTAATAACTATGAAATACTTAATTATTAAATTTTTAACTTAAATACATTTTTTCCAACTAATCAAAGGAAGTGACACATTTTGGGACAACATATATGATCCTGACGCTTCTCACATCTAACTAGCTCTTTTACTTCACTTTCGTCCTGTATTCAGTGTATTGTTTCTCTCATCAAGCTTTCGGTGCATAATCTCATGCAACTGTAATGAAAATTTAAGCATCGTCTTTGTTAGTTTGAGTTTTATTAGCCATCTCTTCCAGAAGTTGGAGGAAAGACCTTGTAATACCATCAACCTCTTCATCTTCCCTGAAGGTATACGCATCTGCATTGGGATATTCTCCTTATTCAATGTCACAAGGAATATTTTTATTCTTCAAATCATTTTGAGATTACGCATACTTCTTAGGAATAGAGTGCTAAACGGAAGCGCAAGATCAGATTAATTGAGAATTAAAGAGAAGCAAATAAATGAACAAGAAAATAACACAAGATTTAACGTGGAAAACCCCTCAGTGTGAGGGGAAAAAAATCACGGACGCTCAAGAGCAAAATTTCACTATATAAAAATGAAACAAATAAAGGAACAAATAACAATATTTTCTATTACACATACTCTTTCAACTGAAACAAAAATTCTCACCAAAATATATTCACGCAATATGATTAAGAGGGTTGAATAAAACCTCTGAAATACTCTCACTATCTAAGAGAAAATGTCACGTGATGTTGTGATGTTGTGATCTTGTGATCTTGTGATCTTGTGATGCACATTTTGCACTTCATAGAGCTAGCCTTTTCCCTTTTATAGGCAAATGAAAGTGGCAAAATATAGAAGACTTAGGAGGAAAGTTATTACAAAAATTGGTCAAAAAGTAAAGGCAAACTTGATAAGGAAGATTAAGAAAACAATCAAAGCTTTTGTTCATCTTCATATCATGGGAATATCACAACACAAGACTCTCATCTTGTGAGAGAAAGAAATTTCCAGCTCTCAACACAAGATGGTCAGGAGCATCACCAAGATTCTCATCTTGTGAAATCTCATGTTCATCTTCACCAATATCAATGGGAACATCCAACTCATCTCCAAGCTGTTGATCACCAACATAATCATGTTGCTCACCATTTTGAATGTTATTCTCAGTTGTATTCAAATCATGTACATATGTCCAAAATGGATCAATATCACACACTCTATTATCTTCTTTGGGTGTAGTCTTCTTCATTTTATCATTGTCTTTAATGGTTTTGTCTTCCATGAACTTCACATCACGACTTCTAAGAGTTTTTTTCTCAATAGTCACCATAAATTTGGGACATTAATATTTGTTTTGCAGTCCAAGTCTTCCTATATGTCACCGTATAGCCAAAACGAGTAACAACTTCTTTGACTAGTGCTTTAATTGGTATATCGAGATATTCAGATACTAATTGAATAATACAGTTTGCAATGAAATATGAGTTCAATTTTGTGTAATCTTGGAAAACATTAGTGAATATACAAGTGTGTGTTCCATTAATTTTTTTAACCTCCCAAATATCACGCTTCACATTAATTGATGCACAAATTCTCCATTCATATCCCGCATCAAAATATTTACATTGACCAACATATCCATCTGGCATAGACTTTACAACATTGTAATCAACATAATTTCTAATTTGAAATTGTTTTATAACATTTATTGTTGCTTCTTTTCACTCAATTTGCATACTGACAAACAAATCATTATCAACATCATTATTTAAACTACTACTTCCATATGATAAATCTTGGCCGACCTTTGAATCAATGGTATGGAAAAAATGAGTAGCATATGTTATGTTAACCGAATCACTAGTGGCAATCTCAACATCCTCATCACCATCATCACATAGCCAATGTCATTCTCATCACTAAAATCGCTAACAATATCTCTAATAATGACCATATACATGTAAACATATAGTACCGATAAATAACAAATAAAAAATAATAGTTAAAAGACCATACCAATAAATTTAATTACCTTATACAATGACTCTTCTTGGATTAAGAATCTATATTCTTAGATTAGGAATCACTTTTAGATGATACTGGAATCAAGTGAGTTAGATTTTAATTTTTTTCTTTGCATTAAGTGAATTTTGGTTTGGAGGGGTTGTATATAAGGAGAAGAGATCACTTAGGTGCCATGCATGACTATGGATCTCGTATTGTCAATCCACTATATTGGCATGGGACTCGTTTATCAAGCCCACGAGTTCTATGGTGGAGCGACAAGATGTAGGATAATCGTGCATGCTAGGCACGATTTCTATCTAGAGTCGCATTCCTCATTTACGACTTCACCAAAGTTGTGTATGACAATAACGATTCCTCAAAAGTTACTTACTTCGATAAATATTTCAAAACTTACAATATACGTGAGATAGTGTAGTCAAACTATATTATCCATGTAAATTTTCTCAATATATATGTATAGAGGTAATTTATGAGCGAAAACACATATTATGGTTCCAAATATTAATAAATTTATTTTTTTATTTCCTATTTTATATATTTTATTACTTTAAGATTAATAATTATATATTTTATAATGAATTCTAGTGATTAAACTATATTAATAAATTTGTCATATATATATATAATATAAATTTATAACAAAAACTCAATTCGTTCCTTATAATTTAAGCATGCAACAAATCGGTCACCAATAATTGTGCTATATGTAAGCAACATACAACACTCGGTTGTCATCCCTAATCATTAATAAGTTTATTAGAAAAAATATTATATGTATTAACAATAAAAGTATAAGAATTTTTTATATTATCAATGTAATATTTTGTCGTCATCATTTTATTTTAAACAAATATTAAATGATATACCAATTATATAAAACTTTATATCTTCTATATCTATATATCTATATATCTATATACTATATAAAGTCAAAACATTTTATAACTACCTATATGGTCTAATTTTTTATTGTCTATTCTGTCCTTCTAATTAACTATTATTACCATGTTTATCACACAATAAAAGAAATATCAATGAAAGTTAGAAGAATTTACATATATCAAAAATATCAAAACATAAATGTAATTTTTAATAATATCACAATTTACTTTCATATTTTTCTATTACATAAATTATAATATCACATGTCACTCAATATAAAAAAATGTAATATAAAATTAAATATTTAATACTAAAAAATAAGAATTCAATATGCGAATAGATATTAAACGTATTTTTGTTAATATTTAAGTTTTTACTCAAAATGCAAACAAAATATCACCGAAGTCAGCAACTACTTCGAAAGATATTTGTAAAAATCAGATCCACAAACTTGGAAAAAACAGCCACCAACCAAATCCAACGGCTCATAAGCAAAATAATTCGAAAGAACATTCTAGAAAAAACCCCCAAAAGTAGGTATATAAACTCACCTCTACACTAGTTCTCTTCCTCTCTACACTGAATCTCAAAATCACGGTAATAACAACGCCGTATTGTTCTCTCTCTTTTTCCCTTCGCCACCGTAACTAGTATCCAAATCCAATGGCCGGAAAAGGAGAGGGTCCAGCGATCGGAATCGATCTTGGAACTACGTATTCTTGTGTTGGTGTTTGGCAACATGACCGCGTTGAAATCATTGCTAATGATCAAGGTAACAGAACGACGCCGTCTTACGTTGGATTCACCGATTCTGAGCGTCTCATTGGTGATGCCGCTAAGAACCAGGTCGCTATGAATCCCATCAACACTGTCTTCGGTTAGTTAACCAGATCTACTTTCATACCTTAACTTTATGCTTTATTTCGATCTATTATGAGTTTGTATTACTTGCTTTTTATCTTTTTTTTATATATAATCGGTGAGCTCAACTCGTTATTATGATAGTGTTGTAGCATGTTTGATTCTATCAATTCTAATATATGGAAGGTTTATTGAATATGAACTGAATTTTTGAAATCATTTAGTTGAGATCTATACGTGAGATCTGGTTATTGTATAGTTTTGTAATATTACTTCGTGTTTTTAGATCTAGTACAATTTTCGATAATATTATTTTGTTCCGTATTGTTATTGTTTAGTAGCTTGTTTGATTTGGCTAATATTTTAGTTGAATAATATAGTTTATCTTTTGATTGATGCTTATTTTGCTTTGTATATGTTAAAATGCTAATTGTAACATACACAAGTTGTATTGAGTGTGAACTGACTTATTGTAATCGACCGGTTCAAAGTCCCCTTGTCATGATCTTGCTATTATATAGATTTGTAATATTTACTGAAGACTGTATTTCTAGATCTACTGTATTGTATGAATTTTGAGAAGTATTCATTGTTTATGACATGATTCTAAATAAACATTAATGGTATTGGTCGGTTGTATCATTGATCTGTTTTGATGTTTGTTTTATGCTTCAAGTTGTCTTGTTTCCTTCTATATATTGAACTTTTGCATGTGTATTTGTTGAATCTGAAATTTGAGTGGAAAATGTGCATGTTGATATCTGCATTAACTTGTGGAATTGTTTTAACAAGTGACCAGACTTCCATCGAATAACCGAATCTGTTGTGTTTATGAGATGGCCTATTTTACTAAGCCATTGATTGTTGCTGACTAACTGACTATTAATTGACTAATCAACTGATTCTTTATAACTATATTTTATAAATTGACTAACAAGTAACAAA